CAAGTGCAGGGACGAGCAACCAAATGGGTGATAGGGTTGAAAAATAAACCCTACGACCACAGACTCCAGCTCTTGGGATTATTTCCAGTGAGCTTCAGGAGAGTCAGAGGTGATCTGATTATGGCGTAAAACATATTAAGCACGCCAAATCATCCCAACGTGAGCAGCTCACCGATGCATCACCACCACTCTCATCGAGGCAATCCTCGAAAGATTGCACATCAAAGAGCAAATACTCATATTCGTGCACACTTTTTCTCAGTGCAAGTCGTCGCAAATTTGGATGCTCTCCTAGCCGAGGTGACCACAGCCCCCTCAGTGGACTGCTTTAAGAAGAGACTTGATAATCGCGTACTCACAAACGGACTATCATCCTTCTCTTTGACAAGCTGTTCATGATGCATATCTTGAGACCTGCTAGTTGTTATTATTGCTATCTACTCAGGTCACTTGCCTAATCTATCTCGCCTATTATCTCTGTTCCCTCCCCCTTGTATACACTACGGTCCTCTCTCACAATCTTCACTAGCAATTATTAAACTAAATCATCTATGTATTACTTAGTTGTTAAATTTTATTCATATTAGCATTGGAATTTCATGCTTATTATCCTTATTACTCTACACATTGCAACTAAACGATCTGCGGTGTGGTAATGTGATAGCTGCTGGTATCCAGAAGCCCTACTGCTCTGAAACAAACGTTTTCATTCAAACCCCAAGACATACAAACTCACAACCAACTGACTAGAATTAGATAGTCGAGTGGCTAGCTCACCATCTGTTGGACACTACCAAACACCTGCAACGGTACCGGAAGAACAAGAATCGAGCGCAAATAAATCAGTTGGTTTATACTAGCTCGTGAAAAAGTTATTGGATATTGGATTGGAAATAGATATTGGATTCACAGTTACAACATATTCGAAACGTTACGCTACCAACTTCTAGTTCTTGTTGTCAGATTGTTTTAATTTCATGTTTGTTATTTATAATTGTTGTTGACTGCTTTGTATGTTTAATAGTCACCTCACAATTTATCCTACATTAGATCAACCTATTCAGCAGCCCTTGTCCCTCATATTTCATGTGGCAACTAGCTAATTCACCAGTTCCACATTCATGGGATATGTTATTCGCAACGATAAAGTTGACAGTGTTTCTAATGAATAGAGCTGCTCCTCCGTCAAATTCAAGTTCTCCATTGCCTGCAGACCGGGTCAGCTAAGTTTCTGCGACGACAGATATATCTGGCTTGGTAGGGCCTATCTGCATACCTAGTTTCGATTGGTTGTTTAGTTAGCTGCAGGTGCTTGTATGACATACTAAAGGGCCATTTAAATGTCCTCGTGCTGCAGTCAAAGTGGCCTCGATATCATTCTCTGTGGAAGTCGCACCAATTGGAAATAATTGCTGTAATAGCCTTCTCGCCAGCATAAATCTAGTTCTTGTTCGGATTATTTTTTATATACGGTTCTCAGGTAATAATTCATAACTGACAAAAAACCCCTGATCCCTTAGCTTTATGTCCATTCTGCAGTCCCTTTCACTGGGAGATTTAAATACCACTTTTAGTTTAATTTTCTTGTAAGCCCGTTAGGTTTCTTAGTCTAAACTTTCGACACGTTTACCCGAGGGGAATTTTGAGGCATTAGTTATGTAGTAAGCCTTTTATCAACCCAATGTCATGTTCACAGTGAATTTCTGACCCGAAACATTCATTTTCCTTTACTCCGTAAAAGATGACTGGCTTGTCATTGTGATAAGTCTTTGATAACGGAACTACTATTTTATACATTGGCTTTTCTTTAACGATATTGAGCCGTATCATTTCCGTGATTTGTACTCATTCATCAACTTTCACTGGAGCAACACTCATAGCTGTGTTGTGCACACTGTTAGATCCTGGATGATTGACGATTACTTGTATTGTCGTATTGTTTTTCTGTTAAAAATGGACTTAACCTTAAGATTAGGTTTTCCGGACGTTTCTTGACGGCTACCATTTGGAGGATAAAGCATTGAAAGAATCTGATTTCGTGAGGTTTTATTCCAAACAGACTTTTTTTAAGTCTCTCCTTCCTCTATTGACCACTGTAAGTCAGTGGACTCCGATCTTATTTGGGATGACTGCATATAGATTTGTGTATCGACTGAGGCAGCATCATATGGGCTGCGTTGACCACAGTAATTGCCTCATATAGGAAGTTTTTGGCATCCAAGCCCCATACACATTTGTTTATAGTAATTAAAGGTTGCATTTTGTTAGTTGGTCTTATCAATGCAAGATTTAGGTCTTAGCCGGTATTAGTGCACTTATCTATTCTACTAGAATAATAGACCTACTATTCAGTTACTGACTGGTAAAGATATGACTACTTAATCTATGGGACCTTACATCATATCATCGTCTGTGCTGACTCATCCTATTGTGATAGTCAGAAGTACGCTTCTTAGGACTTCTGAAAAAATACATTTGGCTGTGAAAAGAATAATATATTCATCATGAGAAAGCCGACGTAAGCAAGCCATACCGTCTTTATTAATTGTTTGAAGGTTTACGTAAGTCATCTCAGTTATTGTATACGTACCTTCAAATATCGTAAGTTTAGGGACCGATCCTACTACAAGTTTGCGGCGACGAACGATTACAAATCCCTATGTTATTCCTTCAACACGTCATACGATCGTTATTCTTCATATGAAGCTCAACAGCAAATTTATATCTTTCAACGAGTCGCTGACGTTTTTACCCAAACCTTGTAGGGATCTTCAGAATCTCAGTCTGTTTCGGGGTAAACCCCAGTTGATGAATTATTTTAAGATTTTTGTTCGCATTTTTCAAAATTTTACTATAAGGCTTTTCCTAAAGTTGATTCAATCCTTCCTAAAATCGGGTGACTGCTTACTTTTAAGTAAACAAAAGAATCATTTTGTCTCCCATATGTGTACATATATGCCTCCCACACTTGCATATAGAGTGTAAACAACAATGGTAATAGTGAGTCTACTGGAGTTGGAGAGAATGGTGTGACTTAGCTAGGGCTCATGATAGAAATTGTCTCAATTTTCACACTGATTTATAAAAGTCCGGTATTGTTCCGACAAATACTTCTTTTTCTTGTTGCATAGTTTTAAAACTCTTTATTGAATCAAAATAACTCTTGTGTAGATATCTGTTCTAAACATTTTACTACTAACCTTAAAAAAATTGTTAACACTCTAGCCCTACATTTTTGCTTTACAGTAATTCGCTGTTGCTTCAGTTTAATTATATATTGATATGTTAAATGTTCTGGGTTATTTGCCTCAAAAATACAGCGACAGTATTCTTGTTACACACAATAGTCATGATGTGGTATATGAAATCAGAGGATTCCAATTGCACTCAATTCATTTGCCATCAATGCAAGCAAATAACAGTAAAACGCTACCCGTTGAAACAAATATTGTGGATATCGAATACTCACCTGGGATAAGCTCGTTACTGTGTTGCTCTGATAAAGCTGTCTTTATGTGGGATATGAGAAATAATAATCCCCAGGTAGAGAGTGTTAGTATTTTTTTCCTATTTAGTTGTAAATATTTAATCTGTTTAACATCTGAATTCTTTCTTTTTCAAAGGAGTAAGGCAAATTGATAACGTTAAGTCCATTAGTTTAAACTACTGAGTCATCGATTCAAGATTTCAGTTTTAACAACAGTACGTCTTCAGTCACTACTTCCAGCCAATGATCTAATACGTACATACTTTATTATAAAGTTGCGTCATTATTATGGGTTCGTGAAAGACGAGCGTAATGTATCGCTTATACAAACATTCAAAGTAATATATATAACAGGTCATATATCATAACGTTAAATCTGTTACCTCTTATAAGGCATAGGCTACCGACCAGGGTTCCCGAACAAACTCTGTCCTATGTTCTCCTCTCCGTTTGTATCCGAGTGTCATTCAGTCCTTTAATGTTTTCCTCTGTGAGAATGTCAAACATAGCCAGTTTGAATGGCATAAGCGACTTCAGAAAGGTTGATTCAGAATTCGTATTCGTGGGTACCATTCAGTTTCGACTACTCAGTGACTTGAGATAGTTTAGATAGGATGGAATTTGAACTATAGGTGAACTGCTGTATGAATTCGAATAAAGAATACGCAAAATGGGAATAAAGTAATAAACGAGTGACTCCATGTGCAATAAAAACGAATTTTATCAAGCGATTGTGAATACAGCTCGAGCGTGAAAATTGAAGCAAACATACATTTTTCCAATTGTAGTATTTAATCAGTTTGTGTGAGGGCTGGAATACCACTCAAGTGCCCAAGCCGAGGAAGGTGTGATTTTCCTACGGTGCCTCTCCCCAAGACTTCGATCTACAAGTCTAATCCACAAACCAGTGAAGTAACCTTACGAGATGCTCTCCGGTGGTAGTTGGTGACTGAAAATAGTTTCATACTCCATTTTCTCCCCCAGGATCCTGGAACCCATGTACACCATTGGTTTAGAACCAAAATTTTTCAACTTCCTTGAACGCTCCTCCATACTCACCACCTGGATCAAAGCCCTGAACACTATTTTTGTCCTTTCAGTTTCGTAAACACTCCTTCCACGAAAAGGTGGTGAGTAGGACCTCTTTGTTTGTGGCTTTATACGCTTGGCCATATGAGAGCATTTCGAGGAGAGCAGACTCTCCTTACTCTCAACCGTACCAAGGCATTTTCGAAACTATGGCAAATAAGAGCGTATGTACTTTGACGATTACAAATAGACCTTATTTTTGAAACAAGTCAAGTGTCTACAGCTTCAGTTGAAATAGTCTTATTGCATTATTCAACGGCTATTTCCCAACTTTTTTATCGCTCATTTTAGTATCAATATGTTTCAATTATCTACCATGATCATATGAATCCAAGACTTTCATTCCTAATTATTCAGACGCACTATTATCAGTGATTCAATTATATTTATTATTCATACTGTTAATGTTTTTTTTTTCCTATCCATGGAAACTCTATTAACCTCTTCGCGAACGAAAAAGCAGCCCACTGTCCAGTCATCTGAACAATTCATGAATGCACCTTTCACTTGCTGTTCCATCAGTACTGATGGCAGTCTAATTTGTTGTGGCACAGAAGTTTACAGATTAAAAAAAAAGCGTCGTAAACATAACAACTGCAGAAACAGTAGTGAATGCGATGAGGAAACAGCTCACATAGTTTATTGGGACACACGAAATCTGTCAAACCCATTGGGGAGTATTAAAGATTTGCATTCGGAAGATATAGTTGACGTGAAATTCGACCCTACTTCTGTCCCCGGTTATCTACGTCTAATGGATTGCTCTGAAGATGGCGTAGTATGCTTATATGATATGAAAGCAGAGGCAGTGTCACAAGACGATTCACTTTTATATGTAGGTTTGAGTTGAAATGATTTCTAATATCTGTAGAGGTTGACAATGGACAGAAGATACTTATTATTTTATCGGAAGCTCATTGGTGTGAACTCCAGTGGATATTAATGTTTTTGGCGTAAGACTCACCAAAATTATTTATCACTTATGGCACAATCGTTCTATTCCTTAGGCTACTGATTATTCATCAGTACATCTTTGTAGCTGTTTAATTTAAAGCAGTTAGATCCACTGTTCTCCTTTGTGATTTTAAGTGCTCACTTTGCTTCTGTCAACTATTATTATATAGACGGCATATTGTTTCAAATATTCTTTTTTTACATGATTATGCAATATTTCACTGAATTAGACGATTAATTCATTAAATAAATAGGTTAAGAAATAAAAATCACTCCAATAGGTGTAATACTTACTATTAAGCTTTGTGCAAGTAAATTAAGTGATAGTTTTATTTACACATTTAATAACTTGTGTTCATTTTTTATTTTTCATTAAATTCATGTCTAATGTATATATCCATTTAAACATAATCAAGATCACTTTGGAATTATTTTATTATGTGATTTTCAAACTTAATCGTTTACTGAAAGTTATCTGATAGTTTAAAATCTTGCGCAGGGGAATTTAGTTAATATTAAAGACTAATTAGACAGTAGAGAGTAAATTAAAAATTAATCAACCCTAACCAATCAGATTATATTTTAATCATTCCTATGTAAGAATCACCAACCAATTAGACCTATAATGACACATGTGATTCCAATGCTAACTTTCGTTTGAGTTTATTTAAAGACAAGATTTCCATTGTGGTTTCATATGTAATTTACAAGTGACGCCAATCATCACATCAAGAACAGATTCTTACTTAGGTTTTCCCTACGTCCTACCAATTTATGATTACTTTTGAGTAAGATGATTTATAAGTAGTCTACATCTACTAACATGACTCAATCCTTACTTAGTACCCGTTCACTAAGTACAGCATTACTTGATCGATTATCCCAGGATATACGAACAATGCTTCAGAGACACCTATGATCGAATACTAATAGCCTACAAATATCCTCTACTCTTATTGGCCATGTAGTAGTAGACTCGTCCTTTGGTTAGCAGATGGATATCTCGCTGATACCATAAGTGACGCAACTTGGCGAAAGGTTGCCGAGCCTTCTGTATCCGTTATGATATTTCGTCACAGATTAGTCCATCAGCACTGACAAACTCCCAAGGTAAGTGAAATGGTCGACACGCTCAACTACTTCACTCGTTATCACCAGTTCAGGTGCCGACACAATCCAATCCTGAAACAACATATTGCATTTCGAAATGGAGAATGGCATCTGGGACATGATTGCATTGCTGCTTAAGGTGGTCAGAAAACTCAGCATTTTGTCAATGTCTTCACCAAATAGAACTATGTCATTGACAAATCGTAAGTCAACAAACGAATCTCCTGGTAAAAGTTCAGCTCTTGGAAAGTCAGATGATGAAAGTGTCGTATGTAAAAGCATTCAATGACAGAATCGAATAAGAATAAAGAGAGTGGACAACCCTGACGGACAACACTTAAAGTAATCAATCTTAATGACAATTTGCCATAAGCTCTCACTCGACCAGTGCTGTTCGAGTAGAAAGCTTGTATAAGGTTAGTGTACATCACAGGTACTCTTTTCAGTAACAGACATTGCCATAGAACCTCAAAATCGACATTTCAGTTACCATGACCTACCTTAAGTTAATTCAAATGGGGGAAAAATCTAGAAATTACTTAGTTCAAATGAATTACAGTCAAGTTTTTTAAATTACTCCTCTAGATGCAGTTTTCTTTACACCATTAGATCACTAAGTACTGACAAATATTATATTTCAGTCCTGATTGCATTTTATCTATTAAGTTGCACACTATCACTGCTAGCCAAGTTAACTCGATATCTCAATGTACTGTTTGGTCGGAAGAATTCGATCAGTACGAAGCATTAGTCAAAAATACATTGGTCACTACCCTATAATCATTCAGCATGTACACTGTTCGGAAATTACTGATGATAGTAAACCTTGTGTATAGTTTTCATACTAGTTGTCATCTGTTTTAGCGAAATTTATCAACAATCTTGAGGCATTCAATTCTTCTCGTGGAATTCGAACCTATACCATAAACTTAATAAACAACCAGTAGCTTCTTTGATTATATTTTATTCTGAGTGTGATTGATCCTTTTTTTGTTGTTGATTATTTTACCATCTAATTTTGATAGATCAATTCATTTTACTTGTGTTTTGTTTTCATTCATTCATTTATAGATGTTCAATTCAGAATCAGTGGCTAGTTCATGTGACTGGTTAACATTGTATAATGATCGATCTTCTAATGCCAATATTGTTGGTGTCTATTGTACAACTACAATGCGATCAAGTATTAAAGCATGGCCAATACATCCATCAATGTTACATAATAATAATAATGATAATAATAATAACAGTGAAAAAGAAAACTTCAAAGATAAAGAAGAAGAAGAAGAAAAAGAAAAAGAATTCAATTTATCTGAAAAAGATGAAAAAGAACTAAATGAGAAAACACAATTATGGAATTCTAAATTTAATACAAATAAACATGACATTAGTGATAATAATAATAATAATAATACTGATATTTTAAATGGTAAAAATTTTTTCAACATGATTCTTGTTCATAATGATGAATTTCTACTACTCGGTAACAGTAATAAAAATGATGTAGATAGTGAAGATTATCCAACTGTTTTCTATTCAAATCACCAATCAAATTGGACAATGTCTTGTTTGCCATCATCTATCACGAAGACTAATTCTCAATCAATCAATAATAAGTTTAATTTACAATATGCAGATTTTTTAGGCAAACTAACCGATATTGATAGTAAGAATGATACTTTAAAACAATTATGCTTTATGGTTGGTTCACAGTCAACTGTTCTATGCTCTTATGAAATACCATCATCATCAACTTGAATCTAATCCATATGATAATTAAATGGTTCTGTGGTTTTTGTGTATAACCAACTGATGTGTACAATTTCACTTTTAATTTTGTATAAGCTTTATGATTGATTGATTCGTTTTGTATAAATTGTAAATTTTCCTTTCTCTACCTTTGATGTAATTATATATCACTAAATAAAAAAAGCTTGACTTTTTATTGATAATAAGTGCACGAGAAAAGCATATTGTACTAGAAAATCAATCAGATTTAAAATAGCCTCTCTTGAACTGTTGTGCAAAATGTAAAACTCAGTAACGGGTAGCTTGGATCTTCTTAAAAACTAAGTATATATTATCAGTATTCAATTACTAAAATCCTTAAAACTAATAAACATGGTGTGACCAAAGAATAGGTAGTATGATTTATAAACTTATAAAGGAGACTGGAAGGTGCTTGATACCAAAGAACTAACTGCCCAAGTATTGACCGTTTAGGGTTACAAAAAATTTATCTACTTGATTCTTAAGCATTGTTCTTGATTGATAACACTATATTCTAACTGTAGCTTTAATTTCTAAATCCAATCCTTATTCTTAAACCTTTACCCAAACTCACGCCTTTTATGTGATAGATTATATTGCATGCCATCTTAGTGGCTAAAAGTTGGTTTTACCCTCTCAACGACATTTGTAAGTCACTTACGAGATCGTCACTGTGATATATTTCCACCAGTTTCGCAAACATGCATTATATTCAGACAGGAACTTCCATATTATTGTGCAAACGCCCTGCAGAAGACCGATTTTACTGATATCGACGACAAAGTTGTCAGACTAGCTATGCCTTAAATATAAAAATATAGGATTTAAGAACCTGAACCAGGACAACAGTTTTCATACGTGGTCATTCCTGTCGTGAAGTCACTCAGTATCGTGGATACATTGTAAAAACTCATATGAGACATGGTTTTAGTTTTGAGAAGCAAGGGAGAGACAGACAGATACAACACAGAACTTCGTACATACGTACATCAGTTCAGGTTGCCATACCGCATGAGCACAGAGACGCAACTATCAGTTCAAATCCAATAGTGGTAGAGATAGTAGAAGGATTAGCAGTAATAGAGAAGATTAGGGTATAATTGAGTGAGATAAAGTTAGAAAGATAGAGAGGATGAAGAATTCAGAAGGTTATAATTTGAGAGAACACAATGAATGAATGCACCTGCGCCACTGCAAACGATTTTGAGCCATGTCGTTGAAGGTCTCTAACCATCGGTGACTTGATAGATTTGTGAAATGTGTTGTTTTGGCCTCCCCTAGCTTTCTTCCAACCTACTCCTACATCACAAAACATAGCTTGTCGAGTCAGTCGGTGGTTAGGCATACGTAACACATGTCCCAACTACCTCAACTGATGAAGTTTCAATACTTCGTCTATTGATTTGCCATCCTTAACTAGTACTAGTTTCCTAACAACAGCACTGCTTACTCGGTTGTCCCATGATATACGTGCAATGCTTCGGAGACACCTATGGTCGAAGACAAGCAATCTTCGAGTGTCCTCTACTCCCACCGGCCATGTTTCGCACCCGTATAGTAGGACGGAGCGAACTGCTGCGCAGTATGCTCGACCTTTGGTTAGTAAACGGATATCTCGCTTGCGCCATAGGTGACGTAGGTTGGCAAAAGCCAGTCGCGCTTTCTGTATCCGAGCTGAGATTTCGTCATTTACCAGGTCATCAGCAGTGATGAGTCTTCCAAGATAAGTGGAGCGGTCTACACGTTCGACTACTTCACTCCTTATCAACAGTTCAGGTGCCGATGCTACATACTAATTTGATGATACAATAACATTAATAAATTTTATCTGTGATGAATTTATATAAATCTATGCACAGCAGTGGCTTATTCGAATTGGGTACTTTACACCAATGCGTCGACGAATTTCCCTCAGGTAGTCGACATAAAGAGGAAAAATTAAAATTCCTCCTTTTTGTTTATTTGTCCAATATGTTACTAGTGAGTAGTATAATTCTGTTCACTGATTTTTAATACGGGTAAAGTATGCAGTTAGGCAAACATCCATTGCTATCTGCAATTTTAATTAAACCAGAAAAGTAGTTCAAATTCCCTCAGGATAATCTTACTTCGATTAACCATTCTAATGAACTGTGGCTTTGTACATTGCAACTAATTTGAATAGACAGGGAATTATTACCTACGATATCGTAATTCATAATGTATGGCGTTTTTCGTTCTATCTAAAGTATGTAAATCTGTAGATTGTTGGGTTTCGGTAACTTGAGCTACTAGTTATCGTATCTACAGCCTGTTGGAAAAGCGATTCAATGCTATTATGGAGAGTTCAACCAGGTGAAAAGAACAGCATTCAGGAAATATGACGAAATTGAGATGTATATGCCGGTATATTACTTTTCCTTCAGTCAGTCAGATGCAACGTCGAACTTCGTACGTAAGTACATCAGTTCATATGCCATACCACATCAGCACAGAGATGTAATTGTCAATCCAAATCCAATAGTAGAAGAGGTAGTTAAGGTATTAGAAGTAATCGGAGAGGTTAGGATTAGAAGATATTATTCAAGAAGTATGATTAAATGAGAAAAGTTTAGAAAGTCAAAAGTAGAGGTGTTGAAGAACCCAGAAGATTAGGATTTGAGAGAACACAAAGAATAAATGCACCGGCGCCATTGCGAAAGATTTTGAGCCATGTCATTCAAGGTCTCTAACCATCGATTATTATCATCTCGCGGACCCCAACCGGGTAGTCGACAATTACCGACATGGCTAAGTCCACTCGTCAATGACTTCATGGATTTCTGCCATGTTTTGGTTCGGCCGCCCCTAACTTTCTTCCAACCTACTCCTACACTACAAAACACAGCTCTTCGAGGCAGTCGGTGGTTAGGCATACGCAACACATGTCTCAACCACCTCAACTGATGAAGTTTCATCCTTACCTAGCACCCGATTCTTAATAACAGCGTTGCTCACTCGGCTGTCCCAGGATATACGAGCAATGCTTCGAAGACACCTATGATCGAAAACCAGTAATCTACGAACATCTTCTACTTTTCCTTACTCTACATAAAACACCAACTGAGGAAAGTAAATGATCAAGTTTTACTTCAGTAGTGTTATTAGTTATAAACTCTTTCAGACTGTGATCACTGCCATTTGTAGTTGTAGATCATAGCTTCTGATCTCCAAGAAAAAGTAGGAAACAAAAGGAAACTTAGCATGGTTACATGATCAGTTTCAATTATTCATGACAGATATCACTCGAAGGCAGAGTTTTGTTATAGATTGTGTAAAATTGATTAATCTGTGGCGGCAAACATACATCTTGCAAAAAACATAGTTTTATGTTGTTCATTTAATGTGTGCGGAGCATAATGCAAATAAACACGTAATCAAACTGTAAAGCAGAATTCATGTCAACAGGTGAATTAAACTTTAAAATCGAATTTTCATCAAATTTATTACATCATTTCTTTGTACAACAGCTAAATTGCTAGCCGCTTGAACCGATATTGGATAAACAAAAGCGCAGCTGGGTTGCTTCCATCAGTAGCGACTCTCTGACCTTACGGAACAACACATATAATAAAAGTTTCCATGAACAACTGAAATGTCGATTAAATGGGAAGGATTCACTTCATCTGTACACGTAGCAGACAAAATTGACGAAAATCCAGCGAAAGCAGTTCAGATTGTAGTCAGAGTCTCTTCTACTGAACAATTACAAGAAGAATGTCATCCTTTGTTTTATTTGTGCTGATAAAAAACATATCTAGTGGTGGATATTACAGACGGTGATTGCACGTACAGTATATTCTACGTGTGCAAGATACCATGCAAACATATGATGTTTTTTTCATTTGCAATATCCTGACTTCATAGATATGTTATTTTCATCTTCATCAAATGGAATAGTCAACCTAGTTTTACAATACCGCGGGAGGACTTGGAATGCAGGAGGAGATTTAAATCTGTGCCATCTAACCCATCTCCTGACTACAGTGTTAAGAATGAGTTAATGGGTAATTTTAACAATGTAATTAATACGATCCATTCACGTGTTGACCTGATTACCCGTAAGAAAGCATTATGAGAGTCTATCGACGTGGGAAAATGTACACTACGTCGGTCCATAGTTAAGTTATATCCACTCTTCCTATCTGAACTAGTCTTTTAGTTTTAAGAAGCTATTATTTCCATTCTCCATCGCATATGATTATTGGAGTCATCGGTAGCTGTTGACATAACTGAGCATAAACATTTGTATGTAGCCACTAGAATTCTTTTTTTGACCGTATTGCTCATATACTCACTCTTTCATTCTACTATAGTCTGTAAACGCAACGTATTTATTTCTGTCGTAATTATTTGTATAAATGCATTGGTGATTTTCTAGTAGGTGCTGTCAACCTCTCAGGTGTACATATTCACATATAAGCGAAGTTACAATTATTGCTTGATGCATCTATCAGAAGACATCTAAGAGTGTTAAAAATATGCAGAATGTACATTCTAGTCTATGAACATGAACATGAGTATTCATTCTCCACATTTATAAGCATAGAATTTTTTCTTAAGTTAAAGAAATACCATCTGAAGAATAAGCGGTTGATCGTTGATATATCAATTTATCCAGGTCTATCTAACATCGTCTGACACTACAAATCACTAAAATAACTACGAATACCATATGTACGACTTTCAAGTCGTTCATGTAAATTGCTATTAGTAAACCGATATCAATTCAGCACTTACATCATGTTATTATTTACATATTCGAACCATTCATCTATTCATTTCATTATCTTTCCTAGATAACCCCTTGATTAAAATAATTGGCAACTATTACACCTGATCTACTACTCTGTATAATTACTTCCCGTTATCTTAATTAGGTTTATTCAGACACACTATAATAATCATTCTTCCTACTACAGTGATTTTCGTTGTATTTCGAGCATTCCATCTAGACACTTTGGCTTACT